GCCGAAAGCTTTTTACATGTTTTCAGAAGATTTACAGCAAGACGAGGCTTTCCAGAATTAATCTTAAGCGACAACGCTGGTCAATTCCAGTTAATTTTTAAAATCATTGTGAAACAACAATTAAATGAATTCCTAGCGGAAAGGAAAATGATCTGGAAAAATATAATACCAAAGGCGCCTTGGAACGGAGGAGTATATGAGCGACTTATTGGGTTAACAAAAAGGGCAATGAAAAGAGCCATCGGCAGAAAGTTATTATGGGAACGGGAATTGATTACGCTAGTAGCGGAAGTGGAAAGTATTTTGAATACTCGACCACTAACTTACGTAAATTTTGATGATTGTATCATATTGCGTCCAATTGACTTTATACTACCGAATGCGCATCTAATCATGCCTGCTAAAAACAAGAATGAAATGGATGATTTTATCCCTCATAAATTGGATTCGAGAGAAAAACTCATTCAATACTGGTCAAATACACTAAAGGCCCTCGATGCCTTCTGGGAAATATGGAAAGAGGAATATTTAAATACTCTTAAAGAAAGAGCACAAAGGGAACACTCTTCTCCGAGAGATGTAGTAAAAAGAACTCCCCACGAGGGAGAGATTGTGTTACTAAATGAACCAGAAATTCCCCGTGGCATGTGGAAAATAGCCAGAATAAGAGAAATCAAAACAGGAAAGGATGGAGAAGTGAGAAGTGTCTCGATAGAATTACCGAAAGGAAAAATACTCAACAGACCGGTGAATATGTTATACCCACTGGAAGTCAAAGGTGAGGAAATTGACCCTCAACCAACAATGTTTAACAAATCAGTGCAAAATGTCAATGAACAAGAACCAATTGCTCTACGAACTAGAAGCGCTATAAGGCGAAGCAATCAACCAAAGCTGTCCAACGAACTAAAGCATTTAGCTCCTTCGGTCGGGAGTGTCGCGGATTTTAATATCGCGATCTAAAAATATGAGTTGCAAATTGTAGTAAAGATATCTACGTAATTTCCGCAAATAATGCTTATACTTCGGACTCTTTGTTTCCAAATTTATGCTTCTACATATTGAAACAATTTACATCGTTCTTTGTTAGCAATCCTTACAATCATGAGGATATCTACATTGTTCTTTGTTAGCTATCATAATCATGCGGTTATCTAATAAGCTCTTTATTAGCAACTGGTGCCCATGCAAGCACCTCCTCTCCTTTGTTTCGATCATTGTCTAACATCAATGTAGATTTATAACCATACTATTGTCAATTAGGTCAGTTTTAAAATCATCCAATCCTCCGAATCAGTTTTACTCAATTGTTGCCCAAATATTTAGCTGGCATCCAACACATCTCCCTGACATCAAACTTCTCCCCCGAATAACAATTTAACCAAATCATAAAGGTTTGTTTCCAAAAACATTTTTTTGCTTCCACTACAATTTGTTCGAAAATGTTTAACAACATGAATAACATATCAGAAGTATTTACTGCCGTAAGCTAATTCGATAGGCATTCATGTCTGTATGTATCATTTTTACCTAAATTTATTGAATGAAAGGTTCATTCTATATTACGAAACAGTAATAGATAAGATGACTGGAATCAAAGTAACAAGATAGCTCCTTCTTAAAATCTTTTTAGAAATATTCTCTCATCTCTTTAGTAATGTCAGCAGAAACTTTTGTTTTGTTATGAACAAGGAAATGAATCACTGATAAAAAACCGATATCATTTTTTTACTTGATTCGGAACCAAAAACGAATGAAAGCTTATAAACCATGACTAAAAGAGAATTTATAAATAATTAGTTCAAATCAATAACAAACTAACCGTTATTAGTTGTTTTAATTGAGAATGGTAACAACACGGCTGTTAAGAAATACATGAAAATAATCATATATCCACGACACTACTGATGTTTTGGGTTAAAAATGATTCGTTGCAATTGAAAACTTTTTATGTAAGCAGGAAGTTTCTTCTTTTTTTAACAACGACGAAATTATTTTATTAAATGATTTCATACATATTCTCCAATCATCATGATAATGCGCTAATCTTGTTGTACTTCGTTCGTGCTGTACTTTTTTCCTTTATTGCAGTAATCCTAATTATCTCTGGAAAGAAAATTAAAATTACCTGTTCATCCTTTTGACCAAACCAGATTATTAAATTCCATTACAACTATTCTATGTAATTTTACAATAACAAAGAATTCGCTTCAATTACAAATCTAAACCCGTGGAAGATTTTATCGAAAAGGGGTTGGCTAAGTAGAAGAACTATAAATTGAAAGCAAAGTGACTGAAAATGATCTTTGGTATGTAAGAAATAAAATATCGCTGGAAGAATGTAAGCAGATGAAAGTGTCAGGGAAATTGGTTGGATCAATCAGGAGAGCAAAGAAATTACATCTTCTCATCGCATCCCTAAAAATAAAATAAATTGTATCAGGTAGACAATGGGCTTCTCACGTGTTTGTAAAATTCAATTGTATTATCAAGCTCGCTTTATCAGGAAAATCCAACAAGTAATTCTTTCAATTGTTTTTCATTTTCGAGAAATGACTCGATATAATCAGTTTGTCTGTCTTAGTTCGAGTTATTTGTTATCAAGATTCTAAATTGTTTATTCTGATATTTTCAGGTATCCCATTAATAGTAACAGGTTGAACTGAATGGAAGTTTTTAAATCTTAAACTTGGTACATCTTCAGATTTAAGGTTCAAAATTCAGTCCATATCATTTATACATGTTTATATAATCATATAATGGATAGCTTCAGTTCTTGAATGGAAAGAGTTTCACGAATTCGATAAATTCTGAAAATTCTTGGATCTTAAACTAATCAGTTATGGTCTTGATTATCATTAACAGCATTGGACGTATGTGTTATTTCTTCATTATGTTCGAAGAAATGAGATAACATATCTTAACATTTTGAGCAAAGCCATTTCCTTATCTTTTTAATTTTTTGTTTGGAAGAATATCAACTTTTAGATGACTAATAAGTATTTCTTTTTAGGCTATTTTACTGAACTGGTTTCAGAGAACACTTCTTGTTGTGCTTCTTAAGCCTTTGGAATGCTTTTAAGCAAGACTTGCACATAGGAATTTTACCTAAGCCGCTTATAGCATGATTACTTTATCAAAAAATAAAAAATTTAACGCTAAGAAAGGCATTTCTTGCATTTATCTCAGTGTTTCGAATCAGCTGATGAAGTTTTCGATGATTTGTCAACAAATTTTTTTCCTCTCAAAACATTTTCCAGTTAAGTTTGTATCATATCCAACAAAAATAATTTCAAAAGTAATTGATCCAAAGTTTCCTTAGCTTCTTAACATGTAACGCCCTTATTATGCTTAATTTTATATAAGAAATTTACAAATTAAGAAAGGATTTCTCATAAATATTAATGTTTATTATTTACCGTGCTTTATAATTTGAATTGGACTAATTCTGGATTCACCAACTATATGGTCCTATTTTTTCAGATAATAATAAAAAGCAAAGCACTTATGCTGAAATTAATGAAGCATACAGTCTAGTACGGTTCCTAACAAATAAAAATTATTAGAAAAAGGTACATAAAAGAGCTAATATGATTTCTAATAAATGAAAGATCCTTGAAGTAACAGAAGCATTAACTATAAAATGTAAAATTCACACAATGACATAATTAGTATTTTGTGAAGCTTATGAAGCGTATGTGAGATTAAGCGAAAAAGCATATAAATAGTACTAAACTTCAACACTTCAGACATTTGAAAAAAAAAATGACGGAAATGATTAAAATGGCATAAATAAAGCTGTAAAAATGATAAATAACTATAGCTGTTTGCCTCATGTATAATAATAATATGTGTTTGCCTCATGTATAATAATAATATGTATGAATAACTTCTTATATAAACCCTCAGCAGAAAAAAATAAAGATGAATTGTAATAAAAAGTGAAAAAAAATGTTTAATTGCATAAATATCATCATAAAGTTATAATTTTAAGCCAAAAAAAAAATAGTAATACAAGAGACAAAGTTTAATTAATTATGATAATGCTAACAATTGACATTTGCTAAAAGAAAAGTTTTAAGTTTAAAACATCTGCAATATAGTGATGAAACCATGCACATGCATATGAGTTCGGTAATGTGAACTCACCGGTCTTAAGTAAATGGGAAAATAGCATTCATAAATCTATTTTTTGATTATATTGATGTTTAACCTTTTATTTATCGCACAAAGTTGTGTGTGTGTGTGTTTTTTTTTTTTCAAGAAAATATATTATATATGTATATATTTAACAATAAATAAAATAAAATATACATTAATGTATATTAATGTATATATGAACTTCAAAAACGGATAAGTCGAAAAGAAGAGAATTAAGCTACATTAAATGCTTAAGGTAACACTATTATGAATTACCTACTTTATGCAGTTCTAATGTCTGATAAAGTTCAATTGAACTATCAGGTAAATAGCAATACTATATATTATAAATTATCCAAAAATCGCTAGTTCAATTTTCCCGTGCTTTTTAATGCTAATAAAATTTAAATAATACAAATCATTTCTTTATCATTTATTGGTAAAAATCACTGCTTATATGAAGTTTTTTTTAATTTGTATGATAGCATAATAAACGGAAAACATTTCTGAACCATTAATTTATACATGAATATAATAATATCAGAAATGATTGGTTTTATGCTATTTAGCTATTACTACTATTAGACATTTCACAGATAGAATACCTTTTTCTGCAACAAATAAAATGAAAATTTTTGAGAAATTTGCAAATCGTAGTAAAATAAATCTTCATATTTCATATGTGAGTGCATTGGAGCAAGGCGACATATTACTATCCTTGAAATGCGTAAGATGCAGCAGCAGCAGTATTTTTTTTTAAAGCAATGTCCTTTTAATTTGACGAGAGGAAAACCGCATTAAAAGTTGTTAGTTGTCGTATTAGTGTACTATCAATCTGTCAGGAAGTTAATTCCTTTTGCTTATGAACCCATCGTCCAGTGACGCGCAAAACCAGAATAGAGGCGGCTGAGTGTGCTACTGCTTGGTGAATTTGTTGTTGGATAAGCCTGAAAGATGCATTCCGTATTATTGACATATACATTGGAACCTGTATCCTAACTGGGACATGAATGCTTATCCAGCTGTTTCTTTGTTCATCAAACAATTCCAATTAAACTTGCACACTTCAAAGAGATTTAGTTAATTCATCTGAAATTATCAAGTTTCCTTTTCTTTTTAAAATTCTACATTTAATTCTACATTTTTGATACAGAAAATAATTTGTGCAACGCATTATCATTATGGTGATGGTTAGAAACACACTATAAGTTTACGTTAGCTAACCAAACAAGTTACGTGAACATTAAGGATTGTTTCCCAATGTTATCATTTTAATTTTTCAAATTGACAAAATACACCGGATCAGTAACAAAAGAGTACACATTCGAATAATTGCAACGAATTCCAAAACATATAAGCAGAAGTACTAAAAAATATGACCAATATAACGAGCATTCGACAATACTCGGAGATACAAATGGAAAATGGCGTTCAGGATTATGAGCCTATCTAATTGGTATAAATGACTTCTATGTACGGTAAATCATCAGATGTACCCTGTTTAAAAACGCGGGTAGTTGTGAGTGTAGATAGAATAGGTCCCCGTGCCACCACGGATTGATGAATAAGAATTGGTGCGAAGCAGATCCATCTGCCTACAAGCTTGGTCCAGTTTATGCGATAGGGTTTTGTATTTGGCTTTCATCTAAAAAATTTACAAATTCCAGAAATGGTGATATACACATACAGTTTTGGGTAATTTCCCTGATATATAAGTCAGGTGTACCAATGTCTGCAGTCTTTTTTAAGGATTAATCGATTTAAAAAATGACTTTTGATCATTTATAGATTAAATCTAATAATTATGATACTGATCTCAAATTTAGAACTTGTCATGAAGCACGGATGGAGCTCACCCTTTCCCTGGCAAGTCTTTCACGAGACAAACTCCTCTGCAAGTCCGCAATTCTGCTCTGAAAACAATAATCCACATTGAAAATTGATAAAGCAGTGCATCACATCACATCCCTTAGTTCGAGCGTTGGCGCCACAGGAACGTACGGTTATTATTACTGATAAAAAGTTAATTTGTTACATGTTATGAAATTTCACGTGTATTATACATTTATTAGATGATAACAATGATTATGAGTAATATAAAAACATTCAAATAAATGGGATATCTTTACATGCCATGGATTTCATCACAAACTGCTAATTTTAATTTTACAGGAAGGGATACCCCGATTATTCTCCATACAATTCTCGTATCTCCATGAAATAATTGAAACTGTAGAAATGATCTACATTTGGTAAGAAAGCAGGCTTGAAAACTCTTGAAACATTAAAATTAATTTGATTTCAATACCTAAAGACGAATAAACGAAATACTCAGTCATGCTTTCACTCATCTGAAATTGTTAATTACTATACTAACATTTAGTATCATTAGCAAATAACTATCAAAAAACAACTAAGATTGCATGGTTACTCTATCTATTACCAATAATCAGTTTCTTTCATGTTTAAATTTTATTGATGTCTGTTATTCAACGATTAGGTTTTAATTCAAGGGTTTGAAAATTTTAAAAAGTTTTATGTTGAAACACTCCAGAATCTTACCCAATAATGATACATTTTATAATATAATGAGTGCATCCTTGTGAACTTAGTCAAATTGTTTGACTTACTAGATCTGTTATCAAAATGTTTTTCTTTCAATTTTTAGTGCAAAAAAAAAAAAAAAAAAAACATGAAGAAAATTGAATTTTCTGGAAATAAGGATAAGAACAGGCAGCATTCTCGCAATTGTTTTAGTTTTTGTCAGTAAGCAAAGCATTAGATGTTACAAGCTCACCTCGTACAGACTCTGAGACACTGGTATCGGATTATAAATATATGGATTATTATAAAGAACTGAATGACGTTGACGCGATAACGGACTGTTGTAGGCCTACAAGCAAAGCTACTACGAAAAATGTAATTTGTATTTTGAAACCATCTAAATTTGACCTCTTTTTAACTGAAAGTACATAATAAGTTACCATATGAAATCAACAAAAATGTTTTAAAACACTTCGATTGAATATTGTTTTGCTTCAAATATTTCTAACAATACTCAAATTGTCTTCTTCTTCAGAAATTTATCAGGAAATCCAAATGTAAGACTAGAATAAATTAAATCATAAGGAGCGTTGAATTGGACTAAAGTTCTGCTAAGACTTCCAGAAACGATATTTCACCTTACTCTGGAAAATAATCTTATGAAAAACCAAGGACAAGAGAATCTCTTAGAAGTAAATTCTCCGTTTAGAAATTTTTTAGAAGTTAGATATGTACATAAGAAGAATACACAGTAACTGATGGTCACAATAGATTAATAAAAATTATTTTAAACAACGAACTCTGTATCCATTGATAGGAGTATATTCTTGCGGCAAATAAGGTCGTGACGGCGAACGATACTTGACGTAAGTACTTGGGAACCCGTACTCAGTGTTACGATTCAAATCGCGTACATAGCTATCCACTCGTGACAAACGTTCCATATCATAGAACATGTCAACATTCGAGCGTGAGCTAAAAGCAAATACGATTTTCTGATCGCCAACCTAAATTTGAGGCTATGGAAAGCAGTTGCTTCCGTCGGTCTCTCACTAAGCTCGAAGAAGCAAACCTTGCTCGGCTTAATCCATCAAAATTTGAGAAACGGCTTGGACTCCTTGCAAGTTCATATTGTTTTTGTCCGCTATATTCCATGAAGGAAATAAATGAACCAGACCGTGATGAAGAGTGGTATACAGACGACAATGGTGGTGTCGAATAATCACGAGTTCGAAGTGGTGGCGTCGCATAGTTTGAAGTATAACTAAATTTGATTAGCAGTAATTTCATTCCAATCCCAGAGCCAAAATTTCAAGAAGTTCTGGTTTCTAATCATTTTGATGAGCAATGTGATAGCAATATAAATTTCCTTTAGACAGTCATGCTATGGTAGAAGCGTGACCGTGTCGACCGTGCGATTCCAGCAATACCGGAATGTGCGATGTAGTAAGAAACTGGACAATATGAAACTTCCTTTGTAATTTTTGTAATCTAGAAAGTGAATGTACCGGTAATAATTGCTTGTCGAACGCTTTGAGCGAAGCGCATTTCTCAACTCTCGAGAGCGGCTGCGCGAGCGCTCAAGAAGACGATTCACTGAGTACAAATCGCTTGAAAATGGACCTGAAATATAGACTGCTCTATTCATAGTTATGTAAATGTTACGAAATATTCTCATGGTTCTTGATGTACCCATTAATTTATTGTCTGTTTGCTAAAAATAGGCAAATTCTATGAGATTGTCCTTACCGATTGATTTATTTATTGTCAATCTAGATATCATTACAGTGTGTTAGATAATAAGTCAAAGGATTAAGAACAAATCATTTACAAGTCTATTCACAAATTCTAGCAAAGTCTTCTTAGCTTTCCCCATCTGGAGAGAAAATGAAAATATCTAAATTTTCTATTCATTAAATTGATTCGAGGCTAGATACTTGAAGGTTAAAATTTTATTCTTAAATATTAATCGCTCTCAAAAATTACATATCAAATTTTGGCTGCATATTATTTACAGATAAATAGCCTAACAAGCGTGAAGTGCAATCTTTAAAAAAAAAAAAAAGAACAGAAACAAACCCGAATTAACAGTGTCATCAAATATTGAAGTATAAATAGATTTAGGCTTATAAGCCGAAGCGGCAGTGTAATCGTTTCGATATTTTTGCGCAGCATTTTGTACCCATGGACTAACTGGCGAGTACGCTTTTTTCTCGACTGGTATATAGGATGAAAATGATAAATAATTTGGCATACGAGGAGGAGGGCCTCTCTGTCGATGTGTATCCTAGTGAAACGTTTCTGGATGAAAATTTTAAACGAAGTTTAAGTTAATGAAGTAATACATAAAAAGTAGATGTTATCATTTTCAAATACCAGAATTTTCACATCTCGAACATTATCTTATGCTTTAAACTTCAATTGCAAATAAATTTTTTTTTTCGCTATTTCTTATTTTTAGTAACCAATGATAAAAAACCAATCATTTGACTCGTAAACTTTCTCGAAATAGCATTCGTAATATGCATAAAAGTTTAAAATGAGAAATAAATTATCCAACTCAACGAATAAAATTGAAGTTGAGATCAAACCAACTACAATCACTTGAAGATTAGCAAAATCATTAAAATTAAACGGCATTATTTAAAATATTAGGATCTATTACATACTTGATCATATGATTTGTATTTACTTTCTCGATTTTCTCGATTTGTATCTCTCCTCACCGGTGATGGTGAACGCCTACGTGGAGGAGATGAAATAATTTGTCTTGCTGGTGGTAAAGATTCTCGCTGTAATTCAACATCAGTGAAGTTCAAATTTTCAACTATATAAGTCTTGCAAAACTCATGTTGAAACATGCATAAATGCGCTTCCACACTGCAAAACATTGTATTGCTACTGCATCTCAAAAATCTTGTTCGCTCTAAAAAGCTATCTTTCCTACTATTCTAATTACTGCTAAAAGTTTACTTCATTAACAGCAGCATGTTCTTCTTCTTTGGCGTATTTTTCCTCTTCAGGCACTTTTTTCTCTTCATTTTCGACATCTTCGGCAGTAGCGTCTTCAAAAGGAGCCTATAATACAAGTACAAAATTTCTTCTGAAAAGTTATATAATTGCACTATAATTTTGTTATTTCAAAAATTCAATTTTATCATTTGGAAGCAAACCTCGTCATTTATTTTTCCAGTTGGTGATTCAGCAATAATTTTAGCTTCTTTTGCTTCAACTACAGTTTCCTCAGTAGCCGATTTAGGCTCAACAATCGGTTCAAGCTCTGGTTCTATTTTTGCTTCATTTGATTCAACTCTATAATATCTAATGATAAACAAAGCAGTGAAATGTTCACCACATTTAATTAAACTTGCTTTTGGTAACAATAATATAATAATAAGTGAAGTGATAAGAGACTACGTCAACCAACGTCGCAACATAGTATAGCTAGTTTAGAAAAAATAAAAAGTAAAATAAATATAAAATGGCAAAACATGCAAAGCCTTCAATAAACTGACAGTTTCATTATAAACATTTTATGCAATTATTTTGCTTACCAGGCTTTTTTAGGTGAATGAAAATTGCTAGGAAGCAAAATTTAAAAAATTTACAGTAATTTTGAATTCCAGAAAGCAATCATTTAGAACAAGCTTGAAAGTAACTGCAATTAGGAACTACATTTTGAAATCTAAGATTTTATAGAAGTTTTGAAGAAGAAATCAAGAAATGAAAGATGCAAACTTGGCTATTTTTGCTTTTCCCGCTCTCTCTGATTGTGGTGCTGCTGCTAATTCAGGGGAAAATTCCGTTGTTTCACTATTTTCTTCAACACTTTTCATTTTTGAAGCCTTTCGTGACGGGGCCTTTTCATCCATTTGTGATGATATTTTTCGAGGGAGAACTCTTTCCTGTGCTATTGATGATTTCTTGGAAGCTATTTTTTCTTCCTCGACGACTGATGTCTTCCGCGATGAAATTTTTTCCTCACTTTCTGACGTTTTTCTAGATGGAGTTTTTGCTTCTTGAATTACTGATGATTTTCTTGATGGTATTTTCTTTTCTTTAACTTCTGAAGACTTTCTTGATTGAAGTTTCTCTTCTTCAGCAGCGGATGTTTTTCGAGATAGAGCTTTTTCTTCCATGGCTGAAACTTTTCTTGAAGACCTATCTTGTCCTTCTCCTTCCATAGCTGAAACTTTTCTCGAAGATACTTCGTCCTCCATTGCCGATGTTTTACGTGAAGAATTTTTTTCTTCCGTAGTAAACTTTTTTTGTGACAAAACTTTATCGTCGGTGATAGATGTTTTGGAAACTGGTTTGTCTTCATCAAATGTAAACTCCTGTTCAGTCATCAGTGGTGTCGCCATAGGTCCATCACTTGTTTCTTCGAATTTTAAACTCGACGTATGAGAGCTCAAATAAAATCATCTCGCAAAATAAGCAAACAAATGATTAAGCTTATGCAATTAGTGTATAAAAGAATTTTTTTAGGAAGAGGGTGAAAAAAGAAAACTTTCATGCTATATTCTTGTCCAAAATGATATAATTGAAATCTGGAGATAAAGAATTCATAAAGTTAAAGATCAATTAAGCATTAAAAAGTTGCAAAAAAATGATAAATAGAGGATAGTTAAGCAGAAATGTAAATTGAAGAGCTTAGTATGGAGCAGACAATTAATCTACCTGTGGATTGTTTCAGATTTTTCTTCTGGTAGTAGAGCTGATACAAAACTGTTTTCCTCTGAAATTTGAATATTTTTTTATTAATATATCTATTCTTACTTGACACTGTTTTGTTCGTTAGTGCTCTCTGTTGTCATTCACTCAGTATTTTCATGAGATACACCAATGCAACAAATTATGCAGTTGAAAAACCTAATATGCGTACACGCAAATCTTATAGAAAATACCAAATTATAATCTTTAACATACACATACATCATAAGACTTATCACCACCTATGATCGATCATGCAACCTTTCTCATAAATAATTCCAGCGAAAAAAAAGTAATAAGTTGCATGTGTGTCCACAACTTCATGATAAAATGATTAGAATTCGCAAGTTTAGAAATTTGAAAGGAGCTTAGCGCTATTCACGAGCAAACATTAATAATGGAGCAGCTACAAAGAGATTGCATGATCATTAAAGAACGATTACACAAATTTTATACTAGTCAAAAACTTTAATCAAAAACTTCTCCTATGAAATTCAAACTTTGCATTGTAAATAAACATTGGAAGAAATAAGGTTGTCAAAGATATATTATGATTGAAATCATGAATTAATTCTCTTGTAAACAGAGAAAAAGTGAGAAATTTATGAGAATCTGAATTTAAAACTGTAGTCTGGATAATTGTCAAAACACGAAAAGAAATAATGTCCATGAAAATTAAACAGGTTTAGACGATTTTGCCATATGCACTAAAGGTGTAGGAAATGATCCAATCACTAAGTGATTTAGTTATGCAAGATAGACTTTATGATGTGCTTAATGATTTAATTTAAACATACGTTACAAAATAACTTTTAACATATACGAAAGGATAATAATATTTTGTAACATATCTTACCTGCTTCGTTACCGCATTCCATAGGTTGCTGTTGTTCGTTCGGAAGTTCTACATTACTAGGCTCATTTCGTTCGTTATTTAAGTCTTCTTTTTTAATCTCTTCTGCTGCTGCTTCCGATAATTCATCCATAATGGCTTCAGATTCGTTGGTAGCCAAACTCTGCAATTTGGTTTTAGATTCATTTTCATTTTTCAAAATATTTCATCTATTTCCTATTGTTAAGAAGGCTTGTCAGTTTTTTTAAATGATTTTTTCACTTCATATGAAGAAAAATTTGACATATATCACAACATTAAAAAGCTTTTCTTTTTTTTTTCTTTTATAAGGACAAATGCATTTCAGTTAATTACATTTGACAGTAAGTATTAATAGAACGCAACAAGTTTATTCAGAAAACATATTATTAAAGGAAAATTAATTGCACATGATATAATTGTGGAAATTCTACGAATTAATTTTATTAATTGAAAGATTATTTTGTGAGACAAAGAAAGCTGACAATTCAAACTCAACAGATTTACACATGAAGAAATTCCTGAAATTTTGATTTAGAATTCTTCATGATTTAACAGATTATCACAAAAGCTAAATTGCTAAAATAAAGTGTTGCAGTAAGTTAGATGACAGAAGCACGTCACTTTGCACAGTTATGGATTCCATACAATGATACCTGCTCAGTGACAACCTCCTGTATGACTTCAGTGACCTCGAGAGGTTCCGTATGTTTTAATTGATCTTGAACTTGTTCCACTTCGGGTTCAGTTTCTTTCAGTCCTTCAACTTCTAATTCTTCAGATTCTTCTTCAGGTGCAGCAGGATTTTGCTCTGTTAATAACTCTTTAGCTTTGTCATCATTCTGAGGTGCTTCAACATTAACATCTGTCGCCTCGTCTGTTGGTACTACTTTTTCCTCTAACATTGTTTCAGCTTCATGAAGTTCTTGTGGTATTTCAACTTCAGAACCTATAGCTATTCTTTCTTCCTCTATTGGTGCTTCTGTTTCCGTGATTGGTGCAATCTCTACATTATCAGTTTCCGATTTGACAAATAATTCAGCTTCTTGTTCTACAAGTGCCGATGTTTCTACGGCTTGCTGAAAACAAGGCTATAATGCAAGATGACGTTCATTATAAATTTGTATTTGCACTTCAAATACTGCTTTAACTGTGATTCTTTGATTGATAATCCCGAAAGAAAAAACGATTATAGATTTTCAATAATTAAACTTTAACAGGAATCAAGCTCTATTGTTGAACTTTAGCTAATGCCTTCGCCATATCAGCAATGTATGAATTGCAACCCAAATTTCAATTTCAAACAGTTAACTGATTCTTTTAAAGAAAAACACTGTTTTCTGTCAATGAACGATCAGTCGAAAAATAATTTAGCAAAGATAAAGAAATTGAATAATTCTTTCTTATGAAATAAATTGGTAACTCTTCCGGCATTTTTTTTTCTTCACATTCCTTTAATTGTTTTAATAATAGGGGTTGTTTGAAGTGTTATCGAAAGTTATCGGTGTGCAACAATTAGCCATCGCAGTGTATGCACAATAACAAACAGATATTTTCAGAATATTTCTACCAACATTCTCAGTGTTATTGGAATCATCGAGTAGAGACTAGTCCAGCAAATTGAACAAGTTTTTGATCCTCCAAAACTACTAGTTATATTAATCACGCATTTTTCTAACCCCCCTAAAAAAAAGATAAACGGATAGGAAAAGCGTTGATTTTACGAAAAATAATCAAGATAGAAAAGAAAGCTAATGCAAGTTTTATAGGAGTTTTTATTGAAAATGAATGAGTTAAAATATCAGTATATCAACACAGTTACTTGATTTACCAGTTATTTGACTAGTTCTTACCTAGTTAAGGCCGATCATAAGATAGTTAATAATTCTGAAATAATTCATGTATCAAGTCATTTCGCACGAAAAGTAATGTTAAAATCCTTAACAGCATGAGAGCATGAATTGAAAATTTTGTTCTGCAAGGTTTTATCAGATGCAACAATTGAAAACAGATTTTGAAGTTTTGAAAGCCATCAATTTGTAAGTATCTTAGTAGGATAAAATGAAAAAGATCAATTTGAAGAGTTCTAAAGATGGGCAGTATCGACAAGAACAATATTAAATATTGATAAAGATATTTTCTGGTTCCTATCAGTAATTGGCATGTGAAATAAGCATACAAACGTCGAGTTTATGATTCTGATCTTTAGAAATCATAATAACAAAAGGCAATGATTACAATGAATCTTCTTCACTACTGAAATTTGAAGATTTTAGAAAAACAGGATAAGTAACACAAAATGAGTAGTTGGAAAGATAGAAAAAGTTGATATACCTCTTCACTGGTTGGTAGTTCGTCAATACTATCCATTGAAGTAGCCATTACATCTGCATTATCCGTACCGGTTATATCAGGTACCTGCAGTGATATAAAACACAGCTTCAAGTACGTCATTAAAATTTTTAATAGAAAAAAATGATGATCGTAATTGTGATTATATCTTATTATTTCTTTTTTTCTACAAAAGATTCTGTTCATCTATTTAACAAACTGAAACATATTTCTTTTTGCCTTCCTCAGAGCCTCAATTCAACTCCTTTTTTATATTGTGAAAGTGAAATATAACTGATTATGCATATTGTTTGAACAGCTAACCATTACAGAGACTAATGTTTCTTTATGAGCATTAAATTATGTGGATTGTAAAAATTGTACATTTACAGTTTACACTAAAAAATATTTTTTTAAATCACATCAATTTTTTTTTTTTTTTTTTTTAAGTCTTGTCCATTTTTGATTGCATAAAGTAAACTGATGTATATATTATATGTAAAAATTGTACCTCATTTGCAACTTTGATTTAATCGCAATACAAGTCATACTATCAAATCAAAAAAGCAATAGCTATACATTTGTGTATTTTATCAAAAATGATAGACAAAAGAACTAAGAGAAATTTCTAAGAAGAACGAAATCAGCTTTTTGCCAACGTAGCATTGTAGCATTGCATGGGGTGACATTTTGCTAAAAACACGTCAGTTGTTGATTACCTGTCCTACCAATAGATCTCAGTGATCAACGTGCGTTCATATTTCATCCTCTTTCTTATAAAAGCAATCTCAAGATTGGTAGTTTGGAAATAGACACCAACAATCAGTGAAGCATATATTTCAAATATTATTTCTTAGTAAAATAAACATCTATTGCTTTACTGAATATGAGTACTGAAGAAATAAATTGGAAAAAACTTTAGAAAAATCTATTTTTTATTCAACTAAGATTGTCTCATACAATATATTTATTTATTTATTTACTTAATTTATTTAATTAATTTTTTTGTATTATTTAATTATTTATTTATGACTAGAGCTATCTCATAGTTTTCATGATATACCAGAATGAGAAAGAAAAATAGAAATCAAGCAGTAATAATATTAACGAGTTAATGGGACTCCATTATATACAAAAATAAATTTGACGATAATGCTATGTATTCTCAGATGCAACTTATTATAAATTGTATAAGTGTATCAGATGGGATGAAAGAATACAAAACATAAGTGACAAGTGATATTTTGATTGAATTCAAGATCTGGATTACTGAATATAAATGTTAAAGACTGCATCTCCTCCTCTATTTAATGCTTTTTCTCTTATTACTTAGTATAGCTTTAAGCGCATCGCCAAAGTTGATAAGTTAAACAATTCTGACTTTTTGACATGATAGTTTATAAAAGAAAGCACGAATTGGAAAGTTTTATAATAAGGCAACAATTTAATAAAAGTTAAGAAGCTACTCTCATTTATTACTCACTTGGAACTAAACATTTTACACAACTGTTGATCTAAGCACAATATGTTCAGTGGATTTTATGAAATGGCTTTGTTAAATTATGGATGGAACTATTAGTGGAAAATTTAGTACAACGAATAAATCCGAAAGTCGGAGGAGATTTCTACAAATCGTCCTCATACAATGATGTATAGAGTATTTTGTTCAAAATCTATCTGGTATTCATTTTAAAGGTAGCAGGGATGCCATCTGATGATGAAAAGTAATTTTTTTGAGAGAATTAACATAATATTAAGAATAGCTTGTCGATGATGCTTAAAATGTTATTAAAACTATAATTTGGAAAGGAAAATTAAGAAATGGCGGAGATAGCTTAAGTACTGATGAGAATAAATAGCTGCTAAAAGTAAAAAATGATAACAAATAAACGTAGTTGTCTAAGGATTGAACTTAGCAAGACTATGAAAGCTCGAAAGTGCAAGATATCCTCAACACGTTATACGAATTAACGCGTTAACCACCAAAATAATGTTTTTTGTGTATTTTAAAATGCCATTAGTTTGACTTATACATAGAGAGAATGAAAAATATGAAATATGACAAGTAAATTGTAAATACTCATGAAGTCCATGCCATTTATTAGAAACTAAATAATATCTGATTTGGCTTATTTTAAAATAAGATAATTTGAAATTTCTCTCCAAAATTTTGTTTATTCCTCCATAATTCTTTTATGCTCTAATTTCAATTAATTTATGCTGTAATTTCAATTTTCTAATTTCAATGTATGTTCTTGTAAATTTACCTAAGATTTATTTTAATGATTGTAGATGATGGTAGTAAATGAATAACAAGCAGAAGTAAAAGCCACCTGTTGTAAAAAAGGATTAAAAATGCTCTGAAATAAAAGTTACTAAACATTGTCTGCAGTTCATATCAATATTTTTGTGAGTATGTTATGGGAAAGCTATGGGAGTAATACCTGATCCTCAGTTCTATCCTCAATTACTTGCTCTTCCACTGCTTCGTCTCCCGCCAGATGAATTGGCTTTTCCTTCTTGATTTCCGCCTCATCTAGAATATATCAAAAGCAGTGAAACTTTAAAAAAAATTACAAGTATTAAAATAACTTAATAACTGGAAAAGCTACCCTTAGTTCAATGAAAATATAATTTGAAGAAATAATATATCATTCATACTGATTTCATTGTGGTCGAGGTCATATTTAGCCTCGACCTTTTCCACAGCTTGCTCCATTACTTCCATATTATTTAACTTATTACTTTCTTGCTGTTCTTCTGATCTCGGTCCTTCTTCTATCGCTTTTATCTAAATAGATAGAATTTTTCTATACACTTCAGTTCAACTGTTCTTTTTTTGCTGCAAATAAATTCCTTCCATTATTCTACTTTCACAGCCACTACTTAATGATAAAAGTGAAATTGCTGCTAGAATTACCAATATTACGAATCAATGAACTAATTACATTCTGATTTAATTAACCTGTTTTAAGCATCCTTCTATTTATTTCACCTGTTTCCTCGCAACACACAAAATACATACCTCATTGGACTGATCAATCTTCGTTTCTTCTAACAATATTTCACTACCAGTGCTACCAACAACGGTTACAACTTGAGAATTATCAGTATTCAATTGTTCATCATTGAGAACGTCATTGTCACTCATAACCTTAGTTTTCATGTCATCTGTACCTGTACCATTCACTCTAAAATTATATGGTTCACTAGCGAAACAGCTATTCCTCTCTCGCAAAAAGCAGTGATATCAGTAAACAATGATGGGTTCATGTGATTATCTTCTCATTTAGAAGGATATTAGAAGATCTACCTAACGCATGGAAAAATGCTAGTGCGCTTACTCCTCACAATATTCGAATCACTAAAATCACTAGTATGTTTTTTTATAATTAAAACTTAAATAACTTAAAACTACTAAATCACTTAAAAAAATATCGTGATAATGATAACTCACTGGACTGCCCTGCCATCTTCTACTTCAGCCATTTCAACAACAGTTCAGTGTATTTGGAATTTTGAAACCGTAGCAGCAACTATTTCCCTCTCTTCTAATATTCCTATCGAGGCTGAGGCAAAAGTAAAGCCTCTTCTCTCTGTAATTACTTCATCTTTTCTTACAGGTTTTCTTTCCTTTTTTAACATCAAAAAATAAAATAAAAGATGGCTGTAATAGTCATACATTCGAGGTTAATAAATGTAAAGAGGACAAAGGTTAAAGAAAAAGCATATTTTAATTTATTAAAAGTAATAATTTTATACTTCTCATGTTAAATTTGATACATGAAGAGATTTAAATGTTAAAGATAAGCAAAAAGGCCTATCTACTTTTGTTGTTCTTTTTTCTTTCTTGCAATCTTTCCTTTGAAAGATAACTCAATCTCCAAATTTTGAACTGCAAAATTTAAAGCAATTAATAACAATATTTTTCGATCATAAAAAATGCCGCTATCCGAAACGAGTAATAAATTCATTTCAATTTTAATGAGAAGGTGCTCTGGATAAAAACATCAATACTGTTTGAAGCGTGATTTCAAGCAATCGGCTAGTGAGGATGTTCATGCTAATAATATACATAGCAAAGTTATTGCTATGTATATTAGAAGGAATGAGTGTTGCAAGGCTGGTATTATCTATATTCATAATAAACAATAAATTTTTGTAATTTCGCTAAATGAATGAATGATAATACATTCTATACATATTTACAGCAAAAGATTCAGAAGTAATTTTTGAGATCAAAATCTTAAAAATGCAATAGTATGATAATATAATATGGCAATTTATTGAAACAGTTTTTCGTTCTACGTATTTTACATATGAGATGAGCAGAAGCTATTTTTAGGTCAGGTAGTAGTTATTACATTTATATTCAAAAAAGAACAAAAGCGAACATTTCATTACTTCTTCCCATAACAGTTTGTTAGAGTTCGCATTTGAAGAGTTTTCTTTCTGCGAAGGAATGCATGAAACAAATATGAATATGAAGCAAGGAAAAATTTCCAAATAATTGATAATCTTTTTGACTTTACATTTACGAATTTTGCATGAACTGTTTTTAATCGCAAAAATAACATAATTATGATGACTTAAAGCTGGAAACTTCTTATATTCTATTATATCGTTGTTGATACTTTCAAAATAGTTTTCAGCCATTTCTTCAATTCTTTTATGTCCTTTAACATTTCGCTTTATTCATTTTTCAACTGCTAGGACTTTCGAACAAATAAAATGATGGCGAAAAGCAAGTTTCTGCAACTCCTATACTATGTGAAGAAAATAACAAAGTCGAAAATAGAGTTTGTTATTAGTTTAAAGGTAAGTGTCATTAAGGCCTTCGTCCGAGAAACTTCATAGTCGTTGTACTCAAATAGTTTGATTTGCAGAAATTAAGAAACCTGAAATTGATTTGTTTTCCTAAAAGTTTTGCCTACTTTCATGGTTGTCATCTTTGGTTTACTGAAAACGTTGAAACCATTAAAAAAAACAATGTAGAATAGAATTATATAGAATTTGCAGGTCACTTTTGAGAAATATGGTAGAAAATTTCTAATTCTTCATAGTGCTTATATAAAAATTATGGCATTTAATTATGGAAGCAATGAAAATGATAAAAAGAAAACTTATTTGATTTTCTAGTAGTCAAGAAGTTTTAAAATGAAGAGCTGGAAATGAAGTGTGAAGGGAAAACCCAAACACTGATAAACGCTGAGTACGCGTCACTGATGTATTTGCTTCGCTCTGGATGAAGTTCTTTCTAAATCATTTCAAAAACAACATAAAGTTTCTGTTGGCAGTAGTTTACTGGGTAGCAGGCAAGTCAAGCGATGCACAAACTATTTCATTAGAAATGATGGCTATTGTGCCTATTTCAAATCCACAAAAAATTTTTATCCTCCTACTAAATTTCCCTCCCATCACGTCTTGCTTCCTCTTTCATCACCGTTGCTATTGTTTCAATCCTTGAAATTCATTGATTTAAAATCAGCTGATTTCTCTATTTTTATTAATTATGTTCAGAAAAAGGACACAGTTTGTAAATACCCGCCCAAAAATCATTCTCAGCGAACAGAAAAAAACTTAACTAAACTATACTAGAATAGTTTGTAAGATATGAAATAGTAAGTTAGATTTATTTCTGCTTTTCATTTCTTGCCTTCTTTGCAAAGATTAGCAATGAATTATTATTTGAATTTCTTTAAACACCGAAACTTTTGAATCATTAGCATCCCTTATAACAATAGTAAAAGAACAAAGGAAAACCGAATCACTTGTAGGAATCTTACAAAAATGGTGGAAGCTTCACAATCTAATTTTGTTAACATCCTTTATCATCGATTCTGAATTCACAACGACACGCTTCACCAATGAGACAGTTCATTTTTCATTTTTGGAAAAGATACCCATGTAATGGCTATTAATAACCACTAGATGAATTGAACAAATAAGCGAAATTCAGAAAATCTAGGAAAAAACATTCATATTTTGCAGAGCTCAAGATGATTTTGGATTCAAAAATAATAGTAAAAGAAAGTGAAATTTTAATCAATGATGAATTTTATAAATTTAATAACAAATATTTAAAGATAATTTAGTCTTTTTGGTAGTAATGGAATTAAAGAACAAGAAAACGAACAAATTCTGAAATTAAGAGTTTTTATGTCCTGAAAGTTGAATTGGCAATAAGCCAGTAAGCTAAGGACTGAAAGGATATAGTATCGTTGTTGTCGTTTGGATATAAGAGTGATGATATATTATTTCTTCAACAATAACATGACATCGGAAGGTATACTACATCACGTTGAGTTCGCCTGCTGTAGAGTTAGAAATATTTTTAGCTCAGTTCATCATTTCATGCCTTCACGTACACATACATACACACAAATAAATCAATTCCTTTTTTTTTTTCTTTTCTTTTTTGAGATTTCTTTTAAAACAGATTTATGAGGAATTTATTTGCTAAAGTATGGATCTTTTCAGTTGATATTTGGTAGAAATATGCATTAAAGTATCATAAAAATGAATAAAGTAATTTACATCAATTTTATGTGGTTGAAAAAAAAAAAAAATTCTGGAATTATTTGATAAAATTTTCAATGTAAAGAAAGATAAGTTTGAGGTAGCACTTTTTAACTGAAGAAGTACAATAAAATGAATATATTGGCAGATTTAACTCTCAATTAACTATATTAAATATTATTTAATCAAATAAATGTTAAAATGCTCACATCTCATTAGGCTTAATAATGTCACATTCACGAACAACAGGAAACAATTTCTTGTAAAATTGTTATTATCGAAGAAATGAAAACCCATAATAGTTATCTCTAAAAAAAAAAATACTGGTCATCAAGCACACATTTTTTTTAAACTTTTGTTTGAAGGGAGCAAATAAAACAGTGGTTTTAAATTTGAAATTCCAAAGGTTTTAACTTCTGCTTGAACATTTTAAATTTTAAAACAAGAACAACGAGAAACATTTTACAAGAAGTAGTGTAAATCAGAGTTACTTTTTATTTTGGGGAGTGATGACAGTTCAGGTTAGATTTATAACTTAGACAATGGAAAAACTTTGAATCAATCAAATTATTCTTTTTGCATTCTTTGTGAATAATGAACATGTGCATTTTTGGAAACGATAAATAATACATAATAAAGATATGTATAGAGAAGCCAAATAATACGTCAACATTTAATGTTTAGTTTAAAAATTATTATAGTAAATTAATTCGCTTTTTGAATTAGCATAATGAATATGAAGTAAATCAAGTGATTAACTCTCATAACACAGATACATTATTTTCAATGTTGAATTCAACAATTTCCTGCTTTTCAGTTTTCTATGCATTTCTTCTCATTCAATGTGTGATGTTGATAATTTTAGTGGAACAGGCATCTAGCAACACTCCACCATTCTGTCTGCTATTTCGTTTAGCAAATATCATTTAGGATAAAAAGCAAAAAAAAAAAAAAAAACACTCGTTGTTGGTTAACATGTCTTTTTCACTCTTAATTGTGTGTGGTTGCTACCAGTAATAAATATAATCGAATTTTTCTTGGCTCTTTATCTATCCATCAATATTCTTTACTGATATAACATATGTATACGTATCTCATATATATATACATACATACACACATACACACACACGCTCATAAATAATAATATCATTAACATTGCCAGTCATTACTTTCATTTCTTTCACTGTGGTGTTTGAAGACTTCTTATTCCACTTTACCTGCATGATCTATGAACTTAGAAAAAAAAGCAGATTTAGCTTGAAATGACTTTTTTATTGAATTTGATTTTCTCTTTTCTTTTTTCTTTTTTTAGGTTAATTAAAGTGAGGAAAGAGAAGGTCGAATAAATTGAGACTCTTAGTAAAATAAACATTTCAATTGCGAAATGAAAATTTGGTAGGTTTAATTATCTATTACTTAATATAATTTATTGTAAAAAAAAAATGCTTTTTAGAAGTTAATAAACTGATTCTCTTATACACTTCGTTTGATTATCCATTCAAAAGATCGGTTTAATTGGTGAAAGTATTGCGCTTGGAGAAGATTTGTCACAGAAAGATTCCTTCATTGCTTCAAATAATCCACGAGAGAAATAGGAGAAGAGACTGATTGCTGGGTGAAATGTCCGTCACATCTAAGTTGTCAATTTTTCGTACTTCCTTTCCTTTGACATTACACTTAGTCAGTTTGTTCAGTTATGCTGTAAATGCTTCCCAAATATTTCAAAGTGTGACAGTCATAGTTTTGTGATATACTAAATGGTTATGCGGAAGTAAAAAGTTGGACGGATGGAGGAGTTTGGGGTGAGGTGTTTTTAGGAGTTATGTGTTTCGGCTTTTGGGATTCATCTTAAAAAGAGTGTAATGCTAAATTCTTTGCTAACTTGTTAATTGGAGTAGCTAGGTATGTGGCAAAATATTCTCGTTTCATCAAAAGCTGCCAAAATACATTCGTTCCGTATTAATTTAATACCATCTGAATTGTAACTAACTTTTGTCCAGTAATGAAAAAGAAATTAATTAGGTTAATTAGGTTAGGTTAAAAAATATTCAGAACTCAATTGAATTTATCAGTGGAAGACTTTTTGAAATACTGGTGATTATTATTAGAAACTGATATGCAATAACTGAATTGAATAAAAAAAATTATTCCCAACATGTAGGATTGTAAAATTGGTGAATAAGTAAATACAAAAAGAAGCGGGGAAAGGTTGAGATATAAGCCAAGAAGTCGACCAGTAATAGTTCAAGTAAAAAAAGAATCAAACAAAATATTCACAAGAATCATTTTGAGGCTGCTAATAGAAATTTGTGTATGATTGGCTATGAACTCTAACTAAATACTTCACTTAAATGACCAAAAGTCATGATGGTTCAGGTCTGAGATAAGCTTTATTTTAAAATGGATTTAATTTTTTAAAAATCTACGTCGAGTATTATGCATTTTGGTTTGCTATTAAAATATGGCAGAACAAACCTGTTGAACATCTGTATCTTTGGAACCACGAAGTAAAAATGTTTTTAATTTTTTTTAAGAATCATGTATTATCTGACGTTCTAAAGTATCAGTGGAATAAATTGATATGCATTTTTGGCTTACTTGCTTATTACCAGCGCTTATTGTCTTTTCTCTGTTTTCCTCAGGTCTTAAAAATTCGCAAGTTTTTGAAATTATATCGCTTAAAAAAAAAGAATTAAATGACGCAATGGTAAAACATTGGGATATTTTTTCATTTTCAGCTATTTCTACTTAAAAACTAAATTTTGCTTCATGATATACGCTTTAGCAATCATTTAAATATTTATAAAGAGTGGATTTGAAATGCAATTTTCCGTTGTTTGTGAATGTTTAGTTGTAGCATTTCCCATTATCTTTTAAAAAATTTTCATATATATGAATAAATAGTTTTCAACTTGTTGAAATTCTCTGAATCTTTTTCTTCTTTTTCAGCGATTATTGGTGGAGTATTGCGGTGCATCTTCTGCATATTTTTTGCGAACACTTGCACCATTGGATATTAACATTGAGATTCACTTATTTAATCAGGGCACCATCGGAGGTATTCTTTTTTTGTTGCATTCTTTGTTCAATAAATTAATCATATGCAAATGCTTTCCAAAACACGGGGCGTTGGCAATACTTCTAATTGATATTCGATTCTGTTATATAGTTGTTCTGAGTTATGAATTTTTTTGCAAACGTTCCATGCGTTGCTATCATGCTTTATTTGATTGCTCAATCAAGTTTGATGTATTTCCTCAGATTATTGTAAAAAAAGTGTGCAGGTTGTGATGTTTGAATTGCTCTTTAGTTTAATAATTTCATGATATATGAGAATATGTTTTAGGGCGACTAACAACTATTCAGATGCCGTATAGCGATCAGAAACGTATATTTGAGGCCGGTGGCAGTGTTTTGCATCCTGCTAATCTTTATTTCAAAAATTGGATGGAAAATTTTGGCAAGTACTTTTAAACTCTAAACTCTACTAAATGCAAAGCAATAGTTTTTGCTATTATAACTTATTGTTCTAAAATTTTTTAGTGTGACACCAATACTTTCCTTTTTGTTTTGCAGTGTTGGAAGAGACCTGTTTTATTTTACAACACTGTGCAGATTTGTCCAACTTTTTAAAAAAAAAACTCGATTGTGTGATTTTAAAATATCTATCAACATAGTGTCGGTGTTATCTCAGTTTAATTTTACTTTTGGATTATATAAGAATGAAAAAAAAAGGCTGTTGTGAGCATGTGGAATGGTCAGGAATTTGTCTTTCTGGAAAGTTCATGGTGTATGGTCAGATTTTATCGACTGCTAAAAAGATATGCTTTTGATCAATTGAAAAGTATCGTGAAATCAGCAGCCTCCTGTCGGATTTTGACAATATTTATTCTCTACTGAAGTAAATTTCTTGTCTAAAAACAGTGTCTCAAAATTCAGTGATTTATTCGTTTTTTTTTTTTTTTTGTAAACATCACTAGCTGTTTTTATCCGTATCAGTGTTGATTCATTATTGCCAAACATTTTACGGCCCAATTTATTTCATTTGATTATCGGACCGTTGATGGATATTTTGATGTCTTAGCCAGGGTAGATATATGAAAATATGTTTTAGGGCGACTAAACAATATACTGTGGATGCAATAGTAATGGCATTGTCGAGCCACCTCGCAAAATTGATAAGACAGTGGAGGAGTATCTTGCTGAGAATGGATGTCATGATCCATTTATTTTGGAATTCACCAACGCAGCACTTAACTGTAATTATGGACAATCTGTTAAAGTTCAATTTTCAAATTTCTAGTGATTCTAATTTTATAATAAAATGCCTTCACAGATGGATAGCTGTCTTTCTCAGTCTCCATTATTATACTATTAGCAGGTAATGTGGAACAATAATCAAATTTCTATACACTAGTCATCACTTATAGAAGATTAGAGTTTTTGTGGGCTTTGTAGGACTAACTGGATCTGTATCTGGGCTTTACTCGGTTAATGGTTCAAACAAACTCATTGTCGAGAAACTGATGGACTTTTCGAAAGTTAAATTGATTAGGTAAGTATTTCTAAGTACAATCGCTTTATTTCCTTATTTGAGATTCCAGAAATATTGACTTGTCACAGTTAATGGTCAAAGAAGAAGGAAGGGTACTAAAGTCTAATCTTATTATTTCAATGCAGAAGTGACAGCTATTTCCAAACGGAACGATCAGTTTGTGTTATATGGAAATGATAGCCAGGAAATTTGTGCTAATTACAATTATATAATTTTTGCTGTACCATTACAGTAGCAAATTCAAATAGAAGGTTATCATGCTTTTATTTCATCGCGAAGCACTCTTTTTTTACCCATCTCATCTAGAGTTATCGTTTTAAAACAGTTCTTAACTGTGATTGCTTAGCTTAAAATTTGTTATTTGATGTAAACTGGGAGGGTCAGCGTGGTAAATTGAAACAAATTATAGCAACGTTTTTGAAGGTTCTTTTTTTGGATTATTTCCATTTCGTTGTTATATTTCTACATAATTCTTGTATTCAACATGTCGAAATCGTTGGCTAAAATGATGTCGCTTAAAATTCATTCTTTTTCTTTACTTTACGATCCCTTTTTAAATTTACTTTTGTTTCTGTGACCCTTCTGTATACATGTCGCTGCAAACAAGGTGTGAGAAACTACATTCAAAAAGCAGAAGTTAGAAATTTATTTTTGCAGGAGACTCTACGTGCAAAACACTGGTTACTGTCTGAGAATGAATGATATGTTGACTGCGGTGATTGTATGTAGCAACAGTTTGTCATATAACTCAATAGGGAATTTCATTTGTTTATTCACAAGCATTTCTCTTATTTCTAATATACTCAAGATTTTTGTTGTTTCAGGACAGATTCCACCTGTTGATGATTATGAAGGAAATGAGTCCTCTCCAAAAACGGGTTCAAATAAAATATGGAAATTATTTTCAAGTAAAAATCTAACTGACTCAGAGTTGTCGCTTTACTTTAGTGAAATCAAAATTGTTAAAAGGGTAAGATAATTCGATGTTTGCCCCATTTAATTTAGATTACTTTTAACATATAAAATCTAATCTCAGTCTTGCACAAGTCTTTCTTTTCTGTAATTTCTAGGCTTCATTTCTGGCTTATCCAGAATGCAAGAAATATTCCGTATCGCCAAAAATATCTGTTTCGTGAACGCAGTGGAATGGTTAGCAAGTACTGTCGGAATGAGTGCAATCGGTAATCATAACTGCGTCGATATGCTTTTGAGGGATTTCGGACTTGTCGATGTTAATAAAACTACAAAAATGGAACTATGAAAATTTTTAAATTAGAACTAGCTTACTAGGAATTTGTGATGGTGGTAGTGATTCGTAACATTATGCAAATTAATATTTGCAAGAACATTTGCTGTTAACGAACGAAATGTGTATATAGGTTGATATATTCAGAATTGCTTGAGATTAATATAATTCTACTTTCTGTGATATCTATGTTTTTTTACAGTAGTTTTTACCTTTGGATAAAATAACGTATTCGCTATTGCTATCTCTTTTCCTAAAGAATAATGGTAATTTAGTCTCCTTAAAGAACAGGTTTTGGGTGGTGAATATCGCCTTTTAGTAATGCGCTATAATAAATAAAAAATAAATAAAAAAAAAAACCACTATAATAAAAATTATGCAGTTATATTGCAGTAAGTCGTAATGGTACTTTTTTTAGTAATGGTCCTAATTACATTCCACTCAAAGCGAGATTCTTTGCGCAAATTATCAACTGCGTTTTGAATATTCTGTTGCATTTGATATGTCGACCTGTGTTTGTATTGTTACAGTTGTTAAACGAGGTTTATTATAAGAGCATTATGTACAATGAACTGCATTGTTAAAAGGCGATAAGAGAGTCGAAAATAGAGGAGAGAATAAAACATGAACTTCATATCATAAGCATTTTAATTTATAAGTCGTGAGGTCCAATGAATATTTCTTTATAAATGACAAGACCAATTTATTGTCAGTAATTCACCTAGCAGGCAGTGATGAAAATTCAGTAGAAGCAGATGGCATATGACTTCTTTTCTGTGTTTCAAAAAGCGGTGAAATAAGAAGGGATGCTATTACGTGTTTCAGACAGCGTTACTATATCCACTTTGCCAACATTTTTATGGTATATTCGATCATCCATTAAAACATTGTAAAACAATAACAAAAGTAACATATAATTTGCAAACATATGAAGTATGAAGATTCATTTTGGATATATCACGCAGGGTATCTCATAACATAAAATTTCAAATATATCACAAACTAAAATTCGAGAAGCACAACAGATTTGATCTGATTCTTGATTAATCGTGTTTTCTAGCCATTTTTATGCTTAGTGCAAACTAGAAATGTACAATCCAGAAAATAACGTCATAGTAATAGGCATATTACCTCCCATATCTTCCTAGCAAAAACAAGCCGAACGCTTCCCTCTCACATGCAAATAAGTATTTATGAGTCCTATCAACTGTTCGATAAGACCACTTCACTGATATCTGTTCTCTCTTCAATTACAGTACTCTCTCTCCCTTTCCCCATCCCACTCTCAATCACTTCTACCATAAAACAACTATATACATCCATTCTCTCATCCCTCCTCCCAACAGCTAACTCTAAATGTCATCAGGTCATTCCCTCAGAACCATTTTTGGTCACGCAGAGAAATGCGGCAATTGTTTAATTTAGGTATGGGCGTAGTTATTGTCTGGAGACAATGCGTCGACACTTTACACTCTCACGTGACACTTCATATTTAACACTTTACACGATCCCGTTTATTGCTTGTGATATCTCACATTCGGTTTTACATTGTGAAGTAATTGAGAAATTTTATTGCGAATGTATACTTACAGCAATTATAGAAATTGAAAAAGAAAGAGAAAGACACTGTGTTAACAGGATGATAGCTGCTGAGAAGCTGAAGTTTAGTACTGTGTGAAATTGAGGAAATACCAGAATTAATAAGTGTGTAAGTGTGAGGTAAGAAAACTGAACCATAATAGATGACCAGCTGTCCGAGATAAAGGAATAGTTACAGTGATAACAGTCTGTTTGTCTTAGATAGTGCCATCGTTTCGTTTTCATGTTGGAGTTTTGTGAAGCATGCTTTCAACATGGCTTTTGACGAGTGTTGCTTATGTTATTAGCCATATTCGTATGTGTTTCTGGCTGTCTTTGTTTGTTTATTTGTTGAACATATGTTCCGTTGCGTTGTTTCCGTACCAGTTTATTACAGGTATCTATTGCAGTACAATGGCGGTAAAGGGTTCAAATAGTATACAGTGGGGTAAATGGATTGTTGTTGGTGGAGCGTGTATTGCAGGCGGTGCCGCTATTTGGTGGTATGTTCGGAAGCAAGCTAAAGATGCAAGTTTTGTAATTATCTCAAGTTCTTAGATTCTCTTTGTGATAGAAAAATAAAAAAAAAGCAGATAAGTGGTATAATTGCGTTGTTTGTTGTTACTTCCCTTTATTATTATTTCCGGATTTAATCTCTGTGGCAGTGTTTTGATGAGGATTTATTGAAGAGATGAGTTTACTTAATTGCTGCTCGCATGTTTAAATGTTCTCCATGTATTTTCATCAGTTGTTATAATGAAAAAGAACAAAATAGTGCTAGAAAAGGAAGTAAAGTTTAAACAAATAAACAACTTTACTCTTTCTTTGTATGGTTTCAGTTTTAAATTTATTATTATTATATATTATAACATTCAAAAGAGATTATTATTTATTTAGCAGACAACTAACGGTTCAGAAGGCGGCGTGGGGCCAACTGTTTCTGTTGCTTCATGTTCAATTCTTTTTCCAGGTATCTCGGACAGTATTAATTTTTTCTCTATGAATGTAATTCCAAACTTAAGAATACAAAAAGACAAAAAGATGTAGAACGTAAGTCATGTTTCAGGTATGCAAAGTTCAAAAGGGATGAAGGATAAGGGTAATGAATATTTCAAGCAGTGTTCATATAGGAAGGCTGCTGAAACGTTTACGGAAGCTATCAGACTTTGTCCAACAGAGCAAAAAAATCATCTTGCTGTATGTTACCAAAATCGGGCTGCTGCTTATGACAGACTGGTACGATTATGTTTCTGACTTTCATTAATTTTGATGGTGGAAGAATGAGTTGTATTACAGTTCTGCATGCCGTCTTATTATAGTGCAAAGTGTTGTGGTAGTTATTGTCTTTGGTTAAATTCTACTTTCATAGAAAATTTTATGGAAATCTAGGGAGATCCGGAACGGTCAATTATGGATTGCACGAAGGCAGTGGAGTTAGCACCACTTTATCTTAAGGCCGTAGTGCGACGAGCAAGAGCTTATCTATCAGTCAATAGACCGGACGAAGCACTAGATGGTTTTTTTTTGCTATTTATAGATTTTTAGTTCGTTTCTACTAGTGCATTTTACTATCCGAAAAATAAAGACTTTTAGTTCCTTTTTTCAACAGAAGACTTTGTATTCTATGATTCTAGAATATCTTGCTTTTTTCTTTACTCCTATTTCACTTCGTTTATTTTCTTTTTTTTTTCTCTGTTTTCCAATTACTTTGTTTCAAAATAACAGTAGATTCTGCTTTTACAGATCTTACCTATGCATTCGTTATGGCTCCAGAAGCAACAGATTCACTTAAGATGGATGTTGATAGTGCAGTTGCACTTGCTGCTGCTAATTTGGTTGAACATGTAGTAAGGCCTTATCTCACCGTTATAAATTCTGCTCTTTAATTTTTTTGCAAATAAAAGCATCCTTTAATTTATGACAAGAAATGATGGCGTGTATAGTAAGCATACTATGAAATACTGTTTATTAAAGTTAATGTGGAAGAATATGAAGTCGTTAATTTAGGAATTCATCTTTTAATAACGGTGGCATTTTAACTTTATCCAGCGCACTTTATATTTACACTTTTTTACATTTATGGTTTGTCTTTAAAAATTTCCAGAAAAATACTCGTGAATCCATACCAGTAAGAGACGAGTTAGTGCTGCTGTGGCGTAGTTCGTATGTCAATGATCCAATATTACATGATTTGAAGGAAGAATCTCGTTCCACTAGGTATTTTGGAGTTATTTAATGTTCGATTTGGCGATATGGATTTTGTGCCAAATATTATATTTCTGTATCATTGTTCGGTATCAGGCAGTCATTACTTTATATAAAGCATATGATGAAGGCAGCCGCAATTTCTTTTTTATTATGTACCACTCTTTTTGATAACACAATATTTTTTAATTATATCAAATTGGACTGGTTAAGGGTTTGAACCATGTAAATCTACCTGGCTTGAGTAGATTAATGTAAAATGTTATAATGTTTGCACATATTTCTTTCCTTACAGTCCGTATCACCAGGCACTGGAAGCGATACGACAAAGACATTACGAGGAAGTTATACCTCTTCTTGAGAATGATTTACGTGTACAGCAATCAGATCCAAATCACTTAAATCTTACTTTTATTCTTCGGGATTATATATTGCAGGCGCGTTTTGCTTTAATGAAAGAAAACCTAGTGGTTAGTGTCATTTAAATTCTTATTTAATGTTTATGAATCAAGATCGTTTCTGTTCTCCATGAAATACCTCATCAGATTAAAATGTCAGGAGAGTGTTGTGAATTTTTTTTCTCACCTAACAGTTCAGTACAGTCTGCGGTAATTTTTACCTTGTTCTGATATTCCATCTTCTCATCTATAGCTGTCAGCAAAATGCATCAAGTTTAAAAAAAAAAAAAAAAAACATTTGGTAAATGCAGTTGTAATTTGCAGTACTTTCTCGCAGTAAAGAAGTGCTAGAACTACCACCAGATAACTATTTTAACGATAAGAATAGAGATAATTTGAGGCAGCGATGATAGAAATAGATCTTCGACTTTTTGTTTCATGAAAAAAATAGTGACTATATGATAATTGAAATAATTAGTCGATGCTGGTTATTTCTTTAGAAATCATGATATTGGTCATCAAATTATTTAATTTTGTCCATTCACTGACCATCTCTCGCTTATTAACCAAATTTATTTTAATTCTTCGTAACATTAGCTTGAAGGTTTGCTATATATTTTTTTCCCGTAATTGCAGTCACTAAAGGAACGCTTAACTGCTTTTGACGGTATATGGAATACATTGAATGGAGACTCTCAATGTGATATAACCAATAAACGTTTCCGATCAATGTATCATATTTTGCTTGCAGCTTGGAAAATTCTTGAACATTGCGGCGATGTTGAGAGGTGCGTTTAGATTCAATCACCTGATGAAAAGTGTGTCTGGTTTGTG